CTCTTACACTATATAAACTTATATTGTACTAAATCCTTATCTCTTTTTTAAGGTTTAGATAGCAACTTTTACCTTTACAATATCAAGAGAATATCTCACATTTTTCTTACAAGATAACCTAAATGATTTTTGTAAACTAAAATACATCTCAAAGTTAAGTGTTTGCCTAATGAAATATAAAGAAATTTGATGAATGAACAATACAATATAGCTTGGATACAACAAATACAAAAGATATGAATTTTAAGCTCTATTAACTCTTTATTCTTTAATAAAATGAAATAATAGCTTGTTGGTTCTTGCTCTCTTGATTCATCAACTTTTTTTGTGTGTTGGAGTGCCCAATTTATAGAGGAATTGAAGAACCATTGAGGATGATTTGGAAAAAGAAATACCTGTTAGAAGCTTGAAAAAAAAGCCATTTGAATGTTTCTAAATATAGGGGATTGATCCCTTTTTGGTACCAATCAATCTTTTTTTCAAGTGATAGATCTCCTAGTCTGGGTGATCGATCCTTTTTCAAATCTTGGAGCAAAATTTTCACTTTAGATAAAAAAACCAATTGATTCCTTTTTGAGGGATCGATCCTGTCCAGCAGGGTGGTTGTCTCCTATTTTGCACTATATTCAATAATTTAATTATATCTTGAGTTATACAAATTCAAATAAAAAATCGTTTATAGATTTAGAAACTAAACTTAAAGGGCATTCTATCCATAAAATTCATCACCTAATTCATTGTATACGAATTATAGTGAATTTTCAAAACTATCCCTCGTGCAATTTTTAGATAATTGCAAAGTGTCTAGTAAAAATTAAAAATCTTTTTTTAAAAAATTTAAAATTTGATTTTGTTTAATCCATTAGAAAGTAGATTCAAAGAGCTTTCCAACCATATAAAATTCAAATATTAAAGTTTTGTGAATTAATACAAAAAAATAAAACAAGTTCAATGTTGAAAAACTTTGTTCTTGAAAAATAATTTTCTTAAGTTAATCTATTTCTCAAAACTAATATTGTCAAAATTGTATTAAGTCCAAAATGAATAAGTTCACTTTAAAAACAACAATTGTACTTTCATTTAAGGTTAAATAAATAATCTTTAAAGATAGATTTAGTTTGAGAAATATGAAAACAAAAAAAAGGTTTGTTTACACTTTGAAAAACATATTATTTATTTAGTATCAAAATATAAAACTTAAGAACATATACTAAATAAATATTTTTCAAAATATTGACCAAGCTTATTTAGTTTAATATTTTGTCAATTCAAAATAAGGATCAATTCAAGGTTAACAAAATATATTTTATAAAGTATTATAATTTAAAATATTTTTTAATTTTTATTATTATATCATTTATCAATAAAATAATATTTTTAATATAAAATATATTTTTAAAAAATTAAAATTAAGTTGAAAATTTTAAAATAATTTGATTAAAATTATATATCATTTTAAAAAATTAAGTAAAAATTTTTATATTCGTTTAAGAAATTAAATAAAATCTCTATATCATTTAAAAAGAAAAAATAAAAGATATTAAACATTTAAAAATATATTATTTTAACTTAATTTCAAGTTTTGACTATTTAATAATTTTATATAATTTTATATTAATTTTAGAATAACAAATTATTATTAATATTTTTTACAATAATTAATAAGTGACATATTTTTATCAACAAAAGAAAAGAAAAAAGCTATGAAATAAAACCCTTTTAGGACACAAAAAAGTAAGGAAAAATTCCTTTGTCTTTCCTTTCTTCCACTCTTTTTTTCCATAGATTTTCCAATTTTCCAAAATTCATGTTTTGATTCTCCATCTCTTCCCTTTGAAAATTTTCCACTTGTAAGCTTTTTCTTCTTCTTCTTCTTCTTCTTCTTCTACTATTCTATACCCACTCTTTTTTTTTTTATCATCGTTTGGCTTTAAACCCATTTTACTTATGCTTAGTTTTTGTTTGTTTTACTTTTTCTTTAGCTGGTTTTGATTAACTTTTGTGGTTGATGCTTTGTTAGAGCTAGGGAAGCTTGCTTTCATGAGTTTCATATATTTCATTTCTAAGGTTTTAAGCTTGTTTAATGAATTGGGTTACTTAAAACAGCTATAGAAGTGCACTTAAAACTTTTGATTTTTTAGCTTTCAACTAAAAATTGGATGATTTGGGGTTTTTTATGTTAACTTAGGATTGGAAATATTTTTACTAATAAAATATGATGCAAAAATATGCAAATACAATTTAAATTTATATTTTTTTGTTATAATATAACTTATTAGATAAAATTTTATTTTAAATAGAAAATAAATATTCAAAACTTAAACTTAAGTTAAAATTAAGTGAGAATTCTATTTTGGTCCTTAAATTTTGAGAAAATTCTATTTTGATTTCTCATCTGCCACATGAGATGCTAGTTAACATCATCATATGATGCTAGCTGGCATTTGCCATTAATTTAAATGGTTCCATAGATAGAGAGATTACATTGGTATACATTTGGGTAATTATGGACTTCATTAGAACTTTTTAAAATTTAAATATCAAAATAAAATTTGACACAAAGTTTAGGAATTACAGGTGCTATTTACTCTATAAGTAATTAAATATACTTCTTTTTTTTTATGAATTTAAGACAATTTAAATCTAACTTTTTAAACAAAGAAAAGTATGCATCAATTATTGAGTTAAATTTGCTCAAGTGCATAAGTAAGTAATTGAGTATACTATGAATAAAAGTAGATGATAAAATTTGACTCAATCTAATTGGTGACTGATACTAAATCTAAAATTCAACTCAAAATTATAAAAATTCAATATTTAAAATAATTGAAATATTAAATACACAATTAAATAAAGATTTGTCAAATGAATTTTGCTAATGAATGCTTTTAAATCACTTTTAAGGTTAGTTAAATTATAATTTATAATAATTTTTATTTTAGATGTAAAATGATAATTAATTTGATGAATTTAAATTTTTTTGAACAAATATTATCTAATATGGTAACTTTAAAAATTTTGATAAAATAGTGAATATTTTTAACTAATATAAAAGAGAAAATAAATGAGTATATAATGTTTCTTTGAATAAAAAGTTTCATATTAATCCTAAAAAAAAATTGAAATTCAATACATTTGTATATTTTCATTGAAATATCATATAGTACTAACCTTCTTTGTCATATAGAGAAGATAAAGTTATGCAAAATCAATCATTCATCTCATTTTTTTGCTTAGAGTAATCTTGCATTGGTGATTCCATTGATTGAATGTAATTGTATGCTCCATTAATTAAAAGTTTAAATTTTTTTATTTAAAAAATTTTATTATATATAAATTATTATTAATTAAAAATATTAAAATATATAATTTTAAAAAATAAAATAAAATAAATTTCTAATCTTGATACTTGTCATGCTTTCTTAAGAAAATTCCAATTCTAAGAATAACAAACTTGTTATTTAATAGCTATACAATTTATAATAATTGCATTTTCAGCATTAACAACATAATTTACATGAATGAATGTAATTTTGGCATAGGTACATTCAAAAGATAGTTCCAATGATTTTGTTGCACCTTGAAAGAATTCACCGAAAATAATTAATTTTACTTCACTTGATAATATTTTATTTATTATTCACATCAAGTCATTCAACCACCTGGATGACAAAAAAAGCAAATAATTTAATACAATTGAAAAAGATTAAATAATCTTATATATATATATATATGCATATTAAGATAAAAGTTGAAAGAAAATTACGTCAATTATTATTTTATTCAATGCGAACAATTCTCATAACAATTTGACGAAATCTAATCTTAAGCTACTGGTAGCTTAACCAACTCCTTAATCATCTAATTCTATAAGTGAAAAGTCTAATTAAAGTGTTCAATGAATCACATAATGCTAATTATTAGTGGAGGAGATACAATTGATTTGTATTTGATTTAATATTAGTTTTTGTCCATGGAAATAATAATTATAAAATTATAGAAAAAATACAAAAGATAAATTAATTTTAAATGTCAGACTAAACTGTAATAATGATATGTTAAAGAATTATTTCAATGAACTAAAAAAAATTATTATGTTATCAATTATCAAATGATCAACTTATAAAACATATAAATAATAAAATCATTAACATTTATATATAGTTAATATATTAAAACAAAAAATTGAAAGGTAAAAAATAGAGAAAAAGACAAATATACTTTAATTGCTTAATTATGATTATTTTTAATGAATTATTTATCAACATAAATTATATATACAATTGTTTTTACAGCAACTAATTACACAAATTCTATATTATTATTTTATTCTTATACATGCTAAAATTTGCTATTATTCTATTTGTATTTTCATTTAATATAATATATATATATATACACACACACACACACTAGATAGTGTCCCATGCATTGCTGCAGTTGAACAATAACAACAATTAAAAATACTTGCAAACTCTAAAACATATTTGTACATACCTGTTTTATTAATTTGTAAAATGTTAAGTTTTCTAAAAACAAAAGTGAGATCTATCGTAAACAACAAAAACACAAAAAAAAAATGAAATGCGTGGAGAATTTTACAGCATAATTCAACAAATTCATTATCAGATTTTTTCAATACCTTTCAAATTTGTAAGTTAGGTCTTTTAACTAATAGATTTTACAAAAAGGCAATGTAAATTAGTGAGTATATTCATCGATAAATCATAAGAGTTTAAATAAAATAATAAAGAAAACTTACAATTCAGTGATTTTTTTTTTTTGAGAAGCAAAATTTGGATGAAAATTGAAGAATAAAAAATGAATAAATTTTTTTTAAAAAAAAAATTTGCTTATAAAAGCTTTTGGAAAATTACCAACATCAAATAGATTTACAGGAAAATGGATAGATAACGAAAGAATAGGAAGAGATTTCATCATTTTTTTATTTAATGAATTAAAATTTTCACTTTCTATTAATGAATAGAGTACTTATGATAATGGAGTGGAGAAATCGATAATTGTTAAAATTAAATATTTATTGATTTGAACATACTCTTTAATAATTATAAAGTTTTAATTTGTAAGTGGAAAGATCAAACTAATTTACGGAATCATACAATAAAAAAATTAGAAAGATTTTTTAAAGATAAGAAAATAGTTTATTTATAATGTTGACACGTAACATCTTTGGAGAAAACTATAAGTTCAACTAGAATTATGTTAAATATATTATGTGCGTCATAGTTTTGGACTTATTTTCGTTGAGTTCCGACTGCATTAGCTCCTGGAATATCTTCATGGCAGATTCAGGCAGAGCCAAGGATAAAATAAGGTTCTTACTGTCCTTTCCCTGAGCAAGCGTCAGAACCAGATTTTCCACTATTGATGCTGGTGCAACTTGCTGCGGTTTTCCCCAACCGAAATCCACATCATAGAAGGTCAGCCTACTCCATTTACTAATCCAGCAAGTATTCTCGATTTCAAGTCCTCCTCTTGTCAACTCATAGTAATCTATGGCTGACCTTATATAGCCTTCAGTGACCTCTTTGATAGACTCGTGCACTATTTTAACTGCAAATGAGAATGGTTTTTGCACCAAATCTCTTGCCGTGCACTGGGCACATGAAAAAGCGATGCCATTGCCAAAGAAACATTCGGGTAGGGGTGGCTTGTATTTTGGCCTACCATCAACAGCAATGAGAAGCTTGGTTGTTTTGTGAGGTTCAATCTTAAATGCCTTGGTCCTCATAATCCACATTAACGCGGAGATCACTTCGAAGCTTGAAGGAGGTGCAGCGAATTCACCTTCCTTAGCCAATTGCTTAAGTTGGTAAAGCTTTTTGGGTTCAACGCAGAAGGATTGATAAACGAGTGGTTCCGGAAATTGAAGGGAAGCATTTTTCGTTGGCCTTTCTTTCCTGACGTATTCAGGATGGGGAATGTCTATCAGCGGAGGTTGTCTTGCAGATAAGATGGTCCGGTCGAGAAACGGAACAACAGATAAGGGCAGGCCTTTGGTAATTTGAGACCAAGAATTTAAGAAATCTGCTAAAGCTTTACCGTCAACAAGGACATGGTTCATCGCTACTCCAAGAACAATTCCTCCACATTTGAAACTTGTGATCTAATGAACAAAAAGGACATTGATTAGCAAGCTATAAAGTTTTAATGTACAATATTAAATTAATTTGCACCTTAGATTAATTTAATAAGAAGTAATTTCAAAGGGAATGCAATACACACAAAATTCCCCTGCCAAAGGATTAAGGGTAGTTTGCTTTTGTGAGTGCTTTTATGTTTTAATTATCTACTCATCTCCCATCCATAGGAAGTGAAATTGGTGGTTGTTATTGAACCTTTCCATAGTTGGGCTGATCTATTTAGATCTGTAAGTTAGGGCAGGACTTCTATGGGTCGGGTGAGTTCAATTGACATTTTCAAAGTCTTATATAAGGTCCAGTCCGTAAAAGCTCGGATAAAACCATTTACTATTCAAAAATATTTAAAAAATTAATTTTGTTTTAATTATTTAATATTTTAAAATTAAAATTAAATAAAAATATTTTATTAATAAAATAATAACTCGAGTCGGATCTAATGTAGACTTTAAAGTTCACATCTAATGTTAGGCATTGAATTTGACAAACAATTTGATCCGTGAACAAATTTAGTTAAGATTATGTCCACAATTGAACTCGGCTTTAACACTATTATATTAGCTACATAGCAATCCTGTCCAAATAATCCTACATACATTTTTTATGAAAATAATTCTAATACTTGATAACTGATATTTTTATTGAATATAATTAAGCAAATATAAAAATAACTTACCCTTTCCATTTTAGAATTTTATTTATCCAAAATTCTGTTGGACAAGTTCCTACAAGACCACCATTTAAGCTCGGTCTGAGCCCATAATATTGTCTCATCTAATGGATTGTATACCTGATTCCCATATTAAATGTTAAAAACAATTTATTCATAATAATTTTTTAGTCTAAATATTTTTAAAAACACTTGATTTTGATTTGAAAATGGTTTGAATAAGACATTTGAGCCAAAAGGAGAATTTAGGTCAAGGAACATTATAGTGATGCTATGTTAATTTAAAGACTTACGACCATCTTTTTATTACTAGTAAAAATTAATATTCAAATTTTATTTTAAATTGTATTAAGATAAATATATATGAATAATTCTAAAATCGAGAATTTAGTTCAAAAGTAAATAATTTTAGCGTAAATTACCCAAAAGAAACTGCACTTTTGGGTGTGTTAAAAGAACTACGCATTCAACCATCCAAGGGAATGGAACATGAGAGAAATGCTTCAGCAGTTCCAATGTTGAAAAAAATGCAAAGTTATTGGTGTTTATACCTGCACCGTTAACAAAGGCACGTCCAATATGCTTTCCACACTATCTACGTGGTGAACGAGTTGTCGTAACTTCACAGGATCAACCCTGCTGATATCTCCCAATTCTTCGATGGTGTTATTCGAAACTGCCTTAACAAATGGCACTCCTTCCCCATTGCTACGCACAATCATTTTCCCGTCCCATGTTACAGAAAGACAACCTGCAAAAGGGTAAAACTCGACCAGGATCTTAGCCAGTGACTCTTTGATGGTTTCAACGGCATTTTCCATTCCATTTTTATAAGCAAACACGATCTCGATAGGGTAAGGGAATGTGTGGTCAAGGTTGGAAAGAAAATACAAGCCATTGTATGTTTTTTCAGCGGGACGGACGACTTGTACTGCTTCCTGCTTCTTCACTGCAAATGCTTTGGCAGTTCCATTGCAAGCCTCCATATTTTTTACTGCTTAAATTCACAAGCTAAGACAAAGTTAGTGCACTATTTATTGATTGAGCGTCTGTTTTAGCCACTCTTTATTGAATGCAGATGGTTTCTAGGAACTTTCAAGTGGTGCTCTGGTGGGTGCATAAAACATTGAGGAAAAAGCATGGAGAGAGAGAGAGAAATCACACATTACCAGGACCAGAAAGCCAACAAGTAAAATGCAAACTATATGACTTAGTATTTGCTTTCCTTGTTCAATAGTCATGAAGCAGACGTATTGGCCTTTATATAGCAAGTGGAAGTAGAACGACCCCACTACTCTTTCGACTATTTGAGAGCTACATGCTCCATTTAGTTTTCAATCCTTGGAGGAATTGCTCAAGTCAAATAATTTAATTTTAGTAACAAGGACTGCTAGGGGCAGTTGAAAAAACACTTGCGTTTCAACACTTTAGATGTTGCAAGGCCACGGCATTCAAGTTGTGCAACTTAAAACCGGATACCTGTTATCTATCACAAGTTGTCTAATATCTTTGATTGTAAGACGAAAACGACAAAACGTTATTTAGAGCTTTCATATATCAACTTAATGCACTCAGTGCACAGCACCAATAAGGAACGAGAATTCTGACGAAGAATAATAAATATTGCATACTAAGGATTTACCCACACTTAAAATAATGGGAAGTAATTTTAACTTTAAAATAAAATTTAATAAAAATTAAATTCAAAATTTATGAGATAATATTCAATTAGTTTATAATTCGAATTTCAGCATATATATATTATTATTTTTAAATTATAGTCTTCTATATACAAAACATCCAAATATTTAGAAAAATAAAAAAAAAATTTCCTTTAAACACTTTTACTATTCAATAGCCAATCACAATTCACAACCAATCAGCCTCAACAGCTATCAAACACCAATTATAATAAATGAATACCTTTCAAAGATCCTAGATTCATTAGTGTATTTTAATATTTGGCAAGTTTGTATTCTAGATTTTATTTGTTGTCCTCCATTTCTTTTTTTATAATAATAGAAATGACTGAAATTTTTATTTTTAATTAATAATATATATTGACTAATTAGATTGTAAAAAAAATTTCAACAATTAAAGAAAAATGTTTGAGTGAAAAAAATAGCAATATATTTATTTTTTTTGTAATAAACATTTAAAACAAATCCAATCAAATTATACTCCACAGCAAAAGAAAACCTTGAAAAATATCTTGATTACTGAGAAATTAAAACTATCTAAACAAGTAATCAATTTTGATTTACAAAAGTTGAATGACATGGCTTCACAAAATTTGAAGTGTTGGAATGCGAGTGTTTTTTTTTTTAATTTTATTGCTGCTAGCATTTACCTTTAGCAATTAAGGACACTATTTATACGAAATATAGTAATTAATGATTTTTTAAAAATAATTGGGTGCATATATTATATGCGTTCTCAAATCGTTTAAATCAAAATATATTTTAAATTATGTGTAATTTTTATAACGACGTGAAATAAGAATTTTAATTTCTTTTTCGGTTATGCCTTTCTCAATTCTCTCTCTAATCCTAAAACTCTTCCTCTAAAAGAATTCTAGCCGATGTGTGAGTCACTGACGATGCCACTACCATATTTATAAAACATCTCAATAATAAAATTAATCCAAAAATCTTGTCAGATTATTTTTACTTTTTTTGATAAAGTAATATTTGATATAAATCTTTTGTTATATAATTTAATATTTATTTTTTTATTATGAATTTAATAAATTAGATTTTTTAATTAAAAAAATGAATAATGCATGAGAATTTATATAAAAAAATAAAAAATAAGAATCTATGTACAATTACGTGTGGTTGGATTGACAATTTACGAATTGAAAATGCTTTTTTTTTTTTGAATAAGGGCTTATTACAAGACATGAAAGTAATCATAATATCTAGAAACAAGAGAAGCTGGCAAATAGTATATAAGTTAGGTCCCATAGAATGTAAAAAAGTGAAAGTGTATAAAAAAAATTAAATTATATAAAACAAACAAATGAATAATAAGAATCTATGTACAATTATGAGGTTGTATTGACAATTTACTAATTGAAAATGCTTTATCTTATATAATTAGGGCTTTCTACAAGACTTGAAAGTAACCATACTATTCAGAAAAATGGAGAAGCTGGCAAATAGTATATAAGTTAGGTCCCATAGAATGTAAAAAAATGAAAGTGTATAACAAAATTAAATTATATAAACAAACAAATGAATAATACGAATCTATGTACAATTACGTGCTGTTGGATTACAATTTACTAATTGAAAATGCTTTATCTTTTTGAATAAGGGCTTACTACAAAACATGAAAGCAACCATAGTATCTAGAAAAAAGGGAAGCTGGCAAATAGTATGTAAGTTAGGTCCCATAGAATGTAAAAAAGTGAAAGCGTATTATGTCAGACAAATTGACGCACAAGATTCGCGTTAGTTAGTAGAAAACACCGATAATGGCAAAGAAACTTGTATATATATATTTGACTAATAAGACCGACTAAACAAAATTATCATCGAGATTACAATTTTAGATATTAGGGAAAAAATTCCGCTACGTCCGGATTGTGATTTTTTTATTTTGATGAAATATAATTTTTTTAATTTAATAATATATTAAAAAATTAAATATATTTTTAGTTTTTTGTTATTTTTTTATTTTTGAAAATATATAATCTTTAAAAAAAATAAAAAAAACTGATACTCTAATTGTGTCACTTAATTGCAATTAGATAAATGTTGATATCTATTTTAAATAAGGGAGACTACTTTAAAAAAATTATATAAATTAATTTTAAAGCTAATAACATATACATGACAATCTCATCTACTTATACAATATTTACTTATTATCAATATTGATCGATTATCATATTCAAACCTATTTACCCATGAAATCAAAGGTCATTAATATCATCACCTATTCAACTTAATTTTTAAAAAATCAATAATTTTACTATAATATGAGGGGCATTATAGTAATTTTAACTAATGATAGTAAGAGTACATTTCTGTAATTATGGTTGAAAAGGCAAAATTGTATCTATTATATAGTGGAAAATTCTATTTATACCCCACTTTCTACTCTATACACCACATTTTTAAATACACCAAAATTAAAAATTTAATTTTCTATTTCTATTAAATATTCCCACACCCCCTCACTTTCTATTTCCCATTCTTATCATTTCTTTCTTTTTCTCTTTTCACTTTTTAAAATCGAATTTTTTGAAAATGAATATTTAAGAAGTTTTGAGGCTTCTTGAAAATGGATATCCGAGAAATCTCAAAGATTTTCAGATATCCATTTTCGAGAAGCTCGATTTCACTTTTAATTGCTAAAAACCTTAATCATGCATTTATAAACCCATTTACTTGATTATGTGTGCGAATAAAATTGAAATCGATGTTTTCAATATGCATGACATAAACTTGTTCTTTCTTTTAAGCCTAAAAAAAACTAAGAACATCAATTTTTGGTTTTTTGGTTTTCTTGTTTTGCATGGGCAAAAAAGTGTTCTTGGTTTTCTAATTTCAAGACAAAAACCCCTTTATGCCCATGCATGCTTGAGAACTAGCATGTCTTTTCCATTTGCATATATAATCAAGTAAGAATAGGCACATTGATGACTCATATGTGTGAATGCATGATAGTCCAAGTAAGAACACCTTATAGAACATTAACCCTAATAATGTCATTAGTAGATTGACAAATCTGATAGCAAGGACCTCTAATCTTTCGGCCACTAGGATATTAGTGGCCTAAATATCAAAGATCCCTATTGTCGAAATTAAGCCATACATTAGAGAATTCATTAGAGACGTTTGGAGATTCTAGTACATCATATTTATTTATTTTAGTATTATTTATTTTAAAATTAAATATATTTATTTTATTTAAATTAAAATTAAACGTTATGAAGATTTTATAATTAAAAAAATATTTAGACAAAAATTTATGTAATTTCGAAAATAGATTTTTGAGAATAAAGATGACTCTCAGAAATTCATTTATCAAAATACAATATAAATCATGAAAATTGATTTTCGAGAATTATATTGTATTGTCGAAAATTCATTTCCAAGAATTATATTGCTTTCTCAGAAATGGATTATTGAGAACACAATATAACTCTCGAAAATTCATTTCCAAGATTTATAAAGGTGGTTTTGGGGTGTATAAGCTATTGAGAGTATTTTTATCATTTATTAAAGGTTAAAATTGATATTTGCTATGTGGATATGTTGGAAGAAAATTTTGAGGGTGTGTCCTAACATTTAAGTTGAAAGAACTTACAGACACAAAAATTATGGAATCCATACAAATCTTTTTTTTTAAGTGTGACTGGACACTTATATGAATCTATTTTTTTTAAAGTTATCTTAAGTGTAAACTAATTATCCCTAAAAAGAATAAATTATGATTCACATTAACAAAAGTAAGATTCGGTAGTCCAGGCTTTGAAACTTCACATGATCAACCCTGCTGATATCTCCCAATTCTTCGATGGTGTTATTCGAAAATACCCCAAAAAATGGCACTCCTTCCCCACCGCACCACGCAATCATTTTCTCATCGCGTGTTATAGAAAGATAACCTGCAAAAGGGTAAAAGTCGACTAGGATCTTAGCCAGTGACTCTTTGATGGTTTCAACGGCATTTTCCACTCCACTTTTATAAGCAAACGCAATCTAGATAGGGTAAGGGAATGTCTAGTCAAGGTTAGAAAGAAAATACAAGCCATTGAATGTTTTTTCAGCGGGACGGACGGCTTGTACTGCTTCCTCTTTCTTCACTGCAAATGCTTTGACGGTTCCATTGCAAGCCTCCATATTTTTTACTGCTTAAATTCACAAGCTAACACAAAGTTAGTGCACTATTTATTGATTGAGCGTCTATTTTAGCCACTCTTTATTGAATGCAAATGGTTTAGAGGAACTTTGAAGTGGTGTCCTGGTGGGTG